TCTCACTAAACTCTAGTTCACCACGTCGTTTTTAAAAATTTTCAGATCCGGGTAGCTTCATTCTAGCCAAAGTTTTTGTTATGGCGTTTTGCTGAGAGGCGTTATATGGAAAGTCTCCTTTTTGATGTTACATACAGTCAATAGTGTGCTTTGTTTTGTAAAATGCTTGTAACGGTGAGCTTGTGGGTTGTAAGTACCGATTATATATGTATATAGTTGCTCTGAACTTCTATCATCAGCAGGTTTATTAATATTTTGAGATTAACCATGTGATATGAAGTGCCAAGCTTGACTCGTCATAAGACTCATTTCATGCACGGGTCGCTGTTGTCGCGTAACCCGTATTTTATGAATTTCCGCTGCAATTTCGGGGCGTGACAAAAGGACTTGCATCTACACTCCTTAACATAATTGAGTGGTACAGAGAAAACATAGGCACTTGTTGGAAGTAGCCAGGGCGCTTAAATTTCAATCTCATTTGCCTACACAGTTTTGGGAGGGAGTACATCCTCACTGCAGCCTATTTTTATAAATAGGACTCCTACATCTTTTCTACCCGGTTTTACTCCATTCCATAGATTCTTCAACAAAACCCCCAGTTATGCTCATTTAAGGGTATTTGGTTGTCTTTGCTTTGCTAAAAATGTAAACAACCACGATAAATTCTCTCCTAGAGCCTCTATATGCATATTCATGGGATACCCCTCATGGGCAAAAGGGTTACAGATGTTAAATATTGAAACTCAAAAATTCATTGTCAGTAGGGAAGTAGTTTCTTTTTTTTTAGGATGTGTTTTCCTTTTCAACACGTAGGCACTCCGGATCAAACTGTCATTCCGAAGCCTATCTATGAAAATCCTGATGATCATCCCTTACATACCACATATATTCAAGCCATGAAGGACCCGGAGTGGATTGAGGCTGTGGATCAAGAGCTAGCTGCCCTCGAACAAAATCACGCTTGGTCTCTGGCCACTTTGCCTGCAGCTGGTAAGAAAACTATTGGGTATAAGCGGGTTTACAAAGTCAAGCATAATGCAAATGGTTCTATAGAGAGGTATAAAGCCAGGTTGGTAGCAAAGGGTTTTTACACAAAGAGACTTTTGCACCTTGCCGTTGTGGCCTCACCTCACTGGCCTTTATATGAAATGGATGTTAACTGTGCATTAATTCTTACATAAGTCTCTCTTTATGGGCTTAAAGCGATCTTCGAGGTGGTGTTTTGCCAAATTCTCAGGCGCACTGTTAGCAGCTAGTTTTCATCAGTCCAAAGAAAAGAAATTGAATTTGCCTTCACAATTTCCCCGTGGGTTTCATTCTCTTTATATAGACAATTTGTACAAGGTAGGGATTACAACAAATCCTAACAATCAGATCCTATATAACAGCCCAATCCCTACAATCAAGCTATGCCATGATTTACATGCCTATAGGATTGCTAACTACCTTGTTTACAATCCCTACAATCATGCTATGATTTACATGCCTATTCGATTGGGCTAACTACCTTGTTTACATTCCCCCTCAATCTTAACCATGACAAGGTTCAGATTGTGTCGTAGGCGATCAAGCATGTAGCGAGTGGCTGGCTTGGTGAATCCATCAGCTACCTGATCTTTGGAAGATACAAATCGGACATCAAGAGTGCCCAATGCAACCTTCTCCCTGACAAAATGGAAATCCACCTCTATGTGCTTCGTTCGTGCATGAAACACTGGATTTGCTGTTAAATAGGTAGCTCCAAGGTTATCACACCATAATACTGGTGGTCGCGGCTGACACACATCCAATTCTTTCAGCAAGGATTGTACCCACGTTGCTTCAGCTGTCCCATTAGCCAAGGCCTTGTACTCAGCTTCAGTGCTGGACCGAGATACTGTGGGTTGCTTGCGTGAGCTCCATGAAATCAGGTTGGGACCTAGAAATACTGCAAAACCTCCAGTAGACCTGCGATCATCCATGCAGCCAGCCCAATCGGCATCTGTAAACACACTCAGAAGTGTAGAGTTGGAGCGCCGGAGGTAAAGTCCCGTAGCAGCTGTTCCCTTGACATATCTTAAGATACGTTTGACTGCCTCCCAATGTACATCAGTGGGCTTGGAAAGATATTGACATACCTTATTAACGGCAAAAGAAATATCTGGCCTTGTTAATGTAAGATATTGCAAACCTCCTACCATGCTTCGATATTTGAAAGCATCATCATCATCCAGCACTGTTCCACAATCACGAGCAAGCTTATCTGTGACAGACATGGGGGTTGAAACGCTCTTACAATTCTCCATGTGAGCTCGGTGAAGAAGGTCAGAAGCATATTTGTGCTGCATCAAGGTGATTCCCCCTGAATTGTAGACGACTTCAATCCCTAGAAAATAGTGCAGCTGTCCAAGATCTTTGATCGGAAATGAGGAAGACAGGGCGCGCAGCAACTGATCAACTGCTGATTGAGAAGAGCCAGCAACCACGATGTCATCCACGTACACAAGCATGTAGATAGTGACGCCCCCATGATGAAACAGGAAAAGAGAGGTGTCGGCCTTGGAAGACTGAAAACCAAGCTGGAATAATCTGTCGCTAAGTCGTGAAAACCAGGCACGAGGCGACTGTTTTAGGCCGTAGAGCGCCTTTTGGAGTTTGCACACATAATGAGGCCGACGGGAATCCTCGAAGCCAGGGGGTTGCTGCATATAAACTTCCTCATCCAAGAAGCCATGAAGAAAAGCGTTGCTTACATCAATCTGTCGGAGTTGCCATCCTCGTGACAAAGCTAGGGCAAGAATCAAGCGAACCGTTGCAGGCTTCACAACCGGACTGAAAGTATCCTGATAGTCAACGCCATATCGCTGAGTAAAACCTCGTGCAACTAACCTCGCCTTGTGCTTATCAATAGAGCCATCCGGGTGCTGCTTAAGTTTGAACACCCATTTACATCCGACTATATTAACACCAGCCGGCCGGGGTACGAGAGCCCACGTGTTGTTCTTCTGAAGTGCTTCAAACTCGGCTTCCATGGCAGTGCGCCAAACAGGCTCAGCGAGAGCCAGTCGATGTGAGGTGGGCTCGGCGAAGAAAGCACGTCTGTTCGGATCATACCGAACTGTTCCGTCGGTGAGCTGCTTGGGAAACGATTTTCCGGCACGACCACGTGTAGTGACACCATGTGGAGACTGAACAGGATCAGTTGGGACAGCAACATCGCTCTCAACAGCAGGCGCGAGCACAAGGTTACCGGGTTCTTGGGCCAGTTGAGGCCCAGGTGCAGGAGGTGGTGCAGCATCGATGCGAGGCGGAGGCAACGTGGGCACAAGGTTGCCGAGTTCTTGGGCCAATTGAGGCCCAGATGCAGGAGATGGTGCAGCATCGACGCGAGGCGGAGGCAGCGAAGATTCTGGACCGGGAGGCGGTGTAGCAGGTCCAGGTGTAACAGGCCCAAGGCTGCATGTGCCCGGGACGTGAATCACAGGCGCGGGTATGAGCGCCGGTGGTGGTGGAGCTGCAGCTGCATTTGAGGTGTTAGACAACAAGAGCGATAAGTCATAATTTCGCATATGATCATTTACAATTACCGGTTCAGACTGAGGAAAGGAAACAGCACTGGACAAAGAAGATGGTGCGACTGAACAAGGTAAGGTAGCAAACGGAAAGCGTGATTCATCAAAGATCACATCACGTGATATGTAGATCCGTCCAGTACTTTTGTCCAAGCACTTATACCCCTTGTGCATGGCACTATACCCTAAGAAGACGCATAGTTTGGATCGGAAGTCAAGCTTATGAGAGTTATATTTGCGAAGACTTGGCCAGCATGCACAGCCAAAAATGCGAAGAAAGAAATAATCAGGTGTTATGTTGAAGAGGCGTGTGATGGGTGTAGAGTTGTTTAGAGTACGACTGGGCATGCGATTGATGAGATAACAAGCTGTCAAGAAAGCCTCATCCCAAAACCGAAGAGGAAGGGAGGAGTGCGCAAGGAGAGCCAAGCCTGTTTCAACGATGTGACGATGCTTTCGCTCGGCCACTCCATTTTGTTGTGATGTATGGGGGCACGAAACACGGTGCAAAATACCTGAACTTTGGAAATATTTATTAAGCCTGTGATACTCACCACCCCAATCAGATTGAACAGTGCGGATTTTGGAATTCAAAAGTCGCTCAACATGTTTTTATAAAATTAAAAATTTTAAACAAAAAATGAAAACTTTACCACGTGCATTGCACGTGCAATCCAACTAGTAAGAGATAAAAGCATGACTTACAAGATATCGCCTACTATAAATTTTAAAGTAATGTATAATATCTAATACAACCAAGATACTTTAATATAACGAAGATACTTTAAACAACGAAGGTACTTTAATTCTCAAATGTTCATAATCCAAGTTCATTACTCAAAGAAAAAGTTTTCTTAATCATCATTAATAAAATAAATCAAATTATAGCATAACATAAATTTGATCATAAATAAGTCTAAAATCTACAGCCAGTTACAACAATAAAAGCACAGTCCAATAACCCACAACATATGACCACATCCCAAAACGCACGCAATTGTTATCAAGAAAACTAAAAATTTAGTGAAATTCATATCCATATTCGTATATGTATCCGCATCCAAATTCATATATGAATCCATATTTGAGTTTATATCTGAATTCGGACATCTAGACCGCATCCGAAATTTAAACTGATATCCACAATCATATTTGACTGAGAATGCGAAACCGTATCAGCAACAATATCCGTATCAGATCAGTTTCAAGGTTTGGCTAATACGGGTGCAGATCAATCATACATATCTAGACCGTTTTGCACCCCCGGAGGGCACTGTTTGGGTCTTCTTGTCCTGGGCCTTACATCAAGGGTCTAACTAATTGAGACCCAATGTAAGAGGACCGATAGTCAAAAGCTAAGTATAAATGGGCTTTGGGCCTTTTATACCGGGTTTAGATGATTCCGATCCGTCCGAGGATGCGAGACTGCCCTTGGTGCTCGGTAACTTGGTCGAGATTACCGCGACGGTAAACACTCTCATCTCATGGTAAAATTTTAAGCTTCCACTTAATTGCCCTAGATATTTCGTTCCAACTCCTGCATTGTCCTTTGTTTCTTTTAATGTTCTTCTGTTTAATTGTGATTTGCGATCCTAATTTTGTATCATTTCACAAATGGTTAGATGATCGGAGCTAAATTGTAAATATCGATTTTTATTTAAAAGTTGAATCTTGTTTGTCTATTTGATGTTAGGGTTCACCTTTGGAGAAGGAACTTGGAGTAATGGTAAAGTGCTAGCTCGCAATGGGGCTCAACAGCGGTAAATTGATAATTCTTAATTAAGCCTTCCCTTATTTTTAATCCATGTGACTTGGAAGTTAATTTTTATATTTTTTAGTCTAAAACATGTCATCTCTTTCCATAATCAAGTGATCAATCATCATGCATATGTGCACACATACATTCAATGGTTTTTTTATAGGCTGAATTTTAACTCAAATGCTAGAAGTAGTGATCAATTAGATGGAAGAACTGATGGCTTTCAAGGGTTATAGCGAGGATTAAAAAAAAAAGAAAATAAATGAAAAGAAAAGAGCTCCTTAATTGCTAGGGATAGACTTTCTTTGCAATTTAGTTCAAATTCATAATTAATTCTACCATTTTTTTTTCTCCCTTTGAGTCCTAATTTTGGAACTATGTATGATAGTTGTGGCATAGTTGTTGCAACCGAGGATTCCAAATTGGTGGTCAAGAAATAACTTGGAGTGACTATTTCCGATGCCTGTGGAGTTTTATGTGAGTAGAGAATACCCTTGAAGGTGCTAGAAATAAGAATGATAAAATGTATTAGTAAAGATGTACAAAGAGATAGAATAAGAAATGATCCACTCATATAAAGCTAGAAGTTGCTTAAGCCATGTGTAGTGTTGTAAATGACCATAGAGAGATCAATTGACAGAGATAAGAGGGGAATGGTTGGCTTAGATGTGTCCATATATAAGTGATACTATAGCCAATCGTTGCTACATATTGGGGCCATACCTGCATTGAATTCCCCCCACCCCTTAAGAAAAGTTAGATTTTTCACTAGGAAAATGATAGGGGCACACCCCCAACCACACCTCCAACCACATCCCCCTCTCTCATTTGCTACAGTGTATCGGGCCCCACATGAGATTTTAAAAATTTAAAATCTCATGTGGGGCCCGGTGCACTGTAGCAAATGAGAGGGGGTGTGGTTGGAAGTGTGGTTGAGGGTGTGCCCCTAGTGCCACCCTTTTCACTATGCTACTATCTTTTGTAAAATATAATGATGGAGCTACAGTAGATTCACTATGCAACTATCTTTTGTAAAATATAATGATGGAGCTACAGTAGATATATGCGTCAATTTCAATCGTAATGCAGCAATTTGAGAAACTATCATTATCTAACCGGTTAAGTAGGCTAAACCATCACTTTTTTGATGGGTCCATATCTTGTGGTAAATAAGAGAGAAATCTGTCATGATGTTAGTGTATCGGTTAAGATTTAAGAATTTTCAACTTGGATTGGCTGCAATCCATGATTGTTGCCTATTTTTGTTTGTTTTGACCCAATAACAATTACGATGCGTACTTCAAAATTCTCAATTTTCATGAGCTGCCCACAATTTTTGTCAATTTTTATTCTTTTCAACCCAATGACGATTAATTATGCACATTTCAGAGCCACAATGTTCATCCACTTTCGTTCTTTTCGACTCAATGGTAATTAATATGATGACATCATAATTTGCTATTTTCAATGGCGGTAACCCATGATTTTTGTCTGTTTTCTTTCCTATTAGCCTAATGGAAACTACACACCTCAAAATTCAAAATTTTCATGGGCTATAACTCATGATATTTGTCATTTTGGTTTGTTTCAACTCATTGCAATTAATTATGCACAGTCCAAAATTGGTAATTTTGATGGGTTAGAACTCACGATTTTTGCGTATTTCATTCTTTTTGACCAAATAACAACTAAGTTTGTGTATTTCAAAATTTGTAATTTCCATGGATTATAACTCATCAATTTTGTCAATTTTTGTTCGTTCCCATCCAATGACAATTAACTATGCATATTTAAAAACCATGATTATTTTCCATGTTCGTTCATTTCGACCCAATGACAATTATGTACGGATACTTTAAAGTTGGCAATTTCCATGGGGCTTAACTCATGATTTTTCCCCCATTTTTATTTCTTTCGATCTATAGTTATTATGTATGCATATTTCAAAATTTGCAATTTCATGGGAGATAACCCATGGTTTTTGTTCATTTTCGTTCATCTCGACCCAATGATAAATTACTATGCGCAGTTCAAAGTTCCCAATTCAATATGCTACAAGACACATTGTTTGCCCATTTTTGTTTGTTTCGACTAATTGAAAAAATACATGTAAATTCACGGTCCTCATCGGCTATAAATTGTAAATTTTGTCCATTTTCTTTCATATTAACCAAATCACAAGTATGCATATTTTAAAATTCGGAATTTCATGGATTATAACCAATGTTTTTTGTTCATTTTTTTTTGTTCATTTTGACTCCATGACAATCAATTATATGTACTTTAGAATTCATAATTTTTATCTCATAAACCACGATTGTTGTCCATCTTCATTTGTTCGAGCCAATGATAATTAAGTGTGAATATTTAAAATTCACGACTTTTATGGGCTCTAATCCGTAATTTTTGTCCATTTTTGTTTGTTTTGACAAAATGAAACTTTTGTAAGTGCATCTATAATTTGCAATTTCATTAGCGACTCATGGTTTTTGTTTCATTTTTTATTTGCTTCAACCAAACAACAACTAAGTATATGCATACTTCAAATTCATGATTTTCATGAGTTAATAACCCACGATTTTTTTCATTACTGTTCATTTCGATCCAATAATAGTTAAAAATATATGTATTTTAAAATTCGCAATTTTTATGAGCCATAACCCATATAGTTAATATCCATTTTGATTAGAATGAACGAAAACTATAACAATCATGGGTTATAGCACATAAAAATCATAAATTTTGAACTACATGTACTTATTTGTAACAGTATAGTGTACGTGCGTTGCATGTAAATATACTTGTTTAATGTTTATAATTTTTTGGAAAATGAGGAAAATGAACACATATATTCTTAACAGATAATATTAAATTTACATATAATTTTAACCACAAAATATTCATAATCTTATAATATAATATTTATAAAATGCATTCTACCCATTAAGGAACCTTCAAACCATTTCTAGCGTCTGCTGTAGTAGGTTATTAATGAATATAAAAACTCAAATTAATTGTAGTAATCCGCACTTTAAAGAGGGTATAACATAAGAGTGAGGACTTTGAGTTGGAAGTTCAACCAACACATCTCCGTTTCCATGTGTTCTCATCTCTATAAATATTATCTACTTTTACTAGAAGTACTAACTCTCAGGCTACGGCTTGTTCTTATAAAAACTGACAATGACAACAATCGTTTTTGTTTTTGTCTTTTCATACATTACTAGTGTCTACCAGCTATGTTGTTTCCTCAAAAACTTTGTCAACCACCTAATTCATCTTCTTTTTCATTAGAATTTAGCGCTAGTAACGCATACGAGTAAACTTTGTTATTATGATCTTTGTATCTGATTTTTCAAAATAAGATAATGACTTTTCACTCGTTTATCAAGAAAGGATATTCATCTAAAATAATTAATAAATAGCATTTATACAACCAACAGGATGTCACGTTAATATGTCATTGAACAACAAATCTCTTCTTAGGAATAATAATAATAAATATATAAATGTGGGAGCTTGAAGTATTGGATAGGTATTAGTTTGATGTATTATTAGTGACATAATAGATCAAATTGAAATAGATTTATGTTATATATATATATATATATATATATATATATATATCATATATATACAGTATGAGAAGAGTGCGTACGCAACTGATCCGTATGAGAACGCGACTGTATATATATATATATATATATTATAATATATATATATATATATATATATATATATATATATATATATATATATATATATATATATATATATTATATATATATATATATATATATATATATATAAGAGAGAGAGAGAGAGAGAGAGAGAGCAAAACTTGTGTCAGCTTAAGTGGATAGCAAAAAGTTATCCACCAAACTTTGTAGTCACTCATATTACCTAGGAATCCTTGCATGATATGAAAATATTCTTTATATTAATAAATGAGTGGCTAGGAAGTTTAGTGACATCAACTTAAGTTGATAGGAGCCTTATTCTATATATATATAATATAATCATATATATATATATATATATAATATATATATATATATATATATATGATAATTAACTACTAATCGAGACTATTGATTTTAGATTACTTGTTTTACATAAACATGACAAAGTCACAAGGTTGTCAAAAGTGGAATGCAGAGCGAAATGGTGAGGCATTGCTTAGGCTTTTTGGGGCTTTAGCAGCAAAAAACGACAAAAAGCCCTAAGTAAAAAGCAGTCCAACTTATATACATATAAATATGTTAGAGGAGAGGATTGCGAGGAGTAAGTGGCTTTAATTGGAGGAGCTGGAGGAGCTTCGACTGGAGATGGTGATGTTAATGGTGAGCTTTGACTATAGATGGGGCTTCAATGAGCAGCTCAAGAGAAGATGATATCATGATGATGAAGGCGGAGCTTGTTGGAAAGGATTTGGAGGCAAATTTTGTGGCAGAGCGCGATAGTGTTGGCCAGAGGTAGTGGACTAGGTTGCTAGAGCAAGAGTTAGGTTAGGGTCTATTTTCATTTTGAGTTGTAGAAGCGGAGAGGGGAGAGAGAGAGAAGCATAGAGTTTTTACCTAAGAAAATGGGTCAGGATCGGATTTTACTGTAGGATATAATATAAACTCATTTTGTTTTTTCAAAGTATTATTAAGCCTTTTTAGTGTTTTAAGCGCTTCACAATGCTTTTACAAGTTTCTATCACATTTTTTAGCAGAAAGCACCACGCCCGTTTTCATTGGCCGCTTTTGATGAAAGCAAAGCAGTGAGACATTGCTTCCATGTCTACATTGTGTACTACTCTGGAACATTAAGTGTCTAAGAGAAGCAATTCATGTGTTGTCAGTTATTATACTACCTAGGTCCATATAATCAGTATTTCCTCTTTCTCTAAATAATTGCAAGATGCTCTATTAATAATTTACAAGTGTCGGTTTCTTCATGAAAAATGAAAAACACTATCTTGACATAATTACCTTTTTATTTGTACTTAAGGACATA